CATTTTGCCAACCACTCGTCGTATACCTTACGGCGATTGCGTTGGGAACTGTAGTAAACAATCGTTTCATACACCGCATAACATTGACATGATCATTCCAGATTGGGGGAAATTAGAGAACGGGAGACTGTATTCCTTGTATTCCCGATCTTGGTTGAAATCAGATTTGGTAAATGAAATAAATGGATTACAAGGTGGATAGCTAGATGCAGCCAGAAACCTAACATCGATGGAATCGATCCGACAGCTCTAAAATACAACCGCAAAAGAATTTACCGATAAGCGAACATTGTATCGATCTTTGGATCCTCGGACACGTTTCAAAAATTTTCCCCTCCAGCTCTCCTCGTTCTTGTGGTGAGCAACGCGCGTTCAGTCAACTCGTGGACCTCCTCCCCCTTCCCCTCCACCTCCACCTCCTCCCTTCTTGTTTTCCTCTTTTTCCGATCCACTTCCTTCGCGCCACCGTTCTCTCCCTCCCTTTTCCCGCCAGGTTGCTTTCATTCTGCTTCGCTTGGAGTAGAATCGCTCGCGCATCTCGTCACGAGCCAGCCAAGTATCACGTTTCAACCTCTGCCTGCATTAGGAACGTGAGAGATGGAGATTTTGTTTACCTCATTCTTTTCCCCCTTAATTTCACATCTTCCCTAAGCATCTATAATAGCTACGTCTTCGTTAGCTTAATATTTTTTAGCGTCTGCGGTAAATTTTAATACACAGATGTTGTGTCGTTTGATCTTCTCCAAGACCCAGCCTCGCAGGAACATGTCCATCTAACGAGCTGGAACTGGACCGTGTGACAACCAAGTTAAAAAATTTACAGTGAGATGTTTGACGGAATGACATTGTTTAATATTACATTCTTCTCGTTAGATTAACGTAGTAGCTGTAACACGTACGCTGTGTTTTGTAAATGCTGTTTTCGGAATTCTTTCGGAGTTCTTTTTTAGAAATTTTCATTCTCTCCATCGTTTCTTGTTGTTTCGAGACGCAAGACGTTGTTTTGTCAAGGTTTAATCGAGACGCGTGGGTGCGGGGTTCTCGGTATCGTAGACCTACGGAGATTTGACAGACAGAAGATCGCGATCGATCTAATATCTTCGGAGTCTGTTCGGTATCGTCGCGTTGGCCTTATCTAACCGTGGCGTGGGGTCCTGGGACCCTACTGTGGCGGTCCCTTAGCTGCCCTGGCGATCTTCGTTGCCCTCCCGCCAAGTTTTCGTCTCCCATTGCCCGTTTCTTCCAACTCTTGCTTGGACCTTCTGGACCGATCGTGACGAAAGAACGATTGCCGGATTCGTGTTGGATTTCCATCTAGAATCCAATCGAATCGTTGGTCAATATTCGCTTTAATCCGTATGTATCCATTTCATTGATGAAAATCAAGCAAGTTTAGGTTTGACGTGCAGGCATCCGTTTCGTTCGATCGTCTGCAAGTAGTAAGTAGATTTAACTGCAACTTAAGTAGATCTCCGTATAGTATAGAAAAAAACTCAAATTACCTAGCAGATCTTGTTTTCCGATTTAAATCGGTTGTCATTTCTCGGTTTTGGGGAACAACGTTAAAACTCCCAGCGAGAGTGTGTTGTCCATGTGATATCGAAGGGCTGACCCAACCCCGTCGTGATGTCTCTGTAGGAGACAGAACACGTGTCCTACACTCGGTTAGGGCCACGTGTGAGGTGCAGGATGTTTGTGTCAGCTCTCCTCGCAGCCGTACGCCTGGCTAACATACGGAAAATCGATCGATCGATGTTGGTCTAATTCGTCCAAGACACAACCGACAATAGAGTGCACCTACTTTCTATTACATTCGTCCGTCGATCGATGTAAACTTGACAAAATATCTTTAACGATAATCACTGATGCGAACGTATCGTATTTCGAAATAAATGCCATGGTGCCGATACGATACAGTGACACAGTAATATATGTATACGATGATTAACCCTTCGAGTGACGCGGATGCATTTATCCGTGGCGGAATCGAGTGCCGTTCAGACAGTGAGCTGTCAAGTTTCTCGAACAAACATGCAAACCAACCCTCTCCTCGAGGTACCGTCAAACTTTTCCACGAGGATTATGAAACAGGCTGTACGATTAGAAATCCGTGAGACATGAAGAAAACACACGACGGTGTGGCAAGGGAAACAGAGGAAAGAGGAACGGGTTTGGGGAGAAGTTGTGTCGAAGAAGGAGGATGATGTGGGGTGGGCGGTGGAGGTGGAGGCGAAAGATGAAGAAGAGGAGGGGGAGGAAGAAGGCACACGTCACTTAGTTGAAGCACGTGCTCTGGTTTCTGGCGGCTGGTGCTGCTCAGCCTCGGTCTTAGACTCAGCCCTGGCGGCTGCGTTTAAATTTAGCCAACGGAGCTTTAACTTCGCCGTGTCATAGGACAAAGAATATGGCGCGTTGCACTCGCGCCAACATTCGGCTTCGTGTACCACCTCCTTCGTTGCGTTCTCCAAGCGCTCCAGGATCGAATGATTTCGCTGAAATCGTTCCTTTTCGTTTCGTCTCCGGTCCTCTCGAGGGGTTCTACTCATTTCCTCTCCTTATGGATATTGTCGCGAAGGATTCTGTGAAAAGGATTCGCTTGTTCGGAATTGCTTTTCTTGAGGGAGGCCGGTAAAGAAAATGAGCGAAAACCATTCGAAATTTCTAACGGTAGACTATGAATCTGTTACGTACTGAAAGCGAGTAAGACAATTAATCGGTTCACGAGGGTCGTAAATAGATAGAGGGAGGAGCAGGGGACTGAAAAATCGTTTCAAGTGTGTAATATGTATAATATGTACATGATCTCACCCCTAGCGTGAGAATCTACCGGAGAGAAAGAAACTGGCGTGTTGAGAAAGAGACCTCGGCCGAACGTGTGTGTCTCCGGTGCTCCAATGACGCAAGTAACACGCTGATCGATTAAGCGTGTACTCTACATACGTGTAACTTGTGGTTGTTTTGTAGGCGATACGTAATATGTACGCGGTATAGTAATACGCGTGGTCCCCGGCTTGTCTCGCCTTTCTTCGTTTCACCAAAAACTTGAGGAAATTAGGGGGAAAAAATACGGTAGTATTTAGAAAGAGCAGAGAGAATGGTCGCCATATGGGCCGATCGGTAAGAATCACTGGAGCTACTTGGGGGTGTGAGCTCTCCTGGATCGTTTAACGCTCCGGTAGACAAACCGCGTGAAATTGTCGTGTTACTTTCTTGAAATGTTTCACCCGCGATAACGTTTAAAACTGATGACGGTTTATTTGTTGTCGCGCGGCGTTTCAGTTCACGTGGTCTATATACTTGGCAAATTATTCTCCTCGAAAATCGTCCGTTTCTTAGCATTCCGTTAAGTACAAGTATCCGGTGACGGCGCGCAAGATTCGTCGCGGGGCAACGTGGCGTTGGCCTCGCAGGAGGGCTGGTCGAGCTAAAGCGCGTGAAGAAGGAAAAGGATAAGGTGGAAGGTGGAGGTTGGGGTTGAAACTAGCTGAGAAGGAAAGAGAAAACGCAAGTGCAGGCGGTAGGCTGTAGGACTCGTTGCAGCCGGCTGTGTCGTCAGCTGCCGACAGATTTATCGAGTGGCACGTGCCGATCCGGACCGATGTCGTTTTATGCCTTCCTTTCCTCCGCTCCACTCCGATCGCCGGTTCGCCGGTTCGTCGAAGGCAAAAATTATTTCTTCTCGAAACGAGTTACCCCTGCTAACGATTCTTCTTCCTAATCTTCGTCAACTGTCCTGTCCCCATTCGGTAATGACGAACCGAGGGGAGAGCATTAAAAGCAAACGGAAGTTCCGACCGAGGCGAGGGATTGCTGCTCTCACATTCCGAGAAAGTTATATATATATGTGTATATATATTTATTTAATTCAGTTAGATTGATTGGAGTAGCTTGGCGTAATAATTCAGGATTTATATACCACTGTTCCTCGTACATACATAGAGGAACGCGTTCTACGAACAATTCAGCCGTAATAAAGACATGGAAATTGTGCCGAAACTTTTTCGTGGATAGCAGAGACGTGAACTTTCGAACTCTGGCAGTTTTTCTTACACGGACTGAATTTCCAAGCTCGGACCACTGACGTTCGTTTGGCGGTGTGTGAGAGAGAGAAAGAGAGAGAGAGAGAGACGCGCGTACGCGGCGGGGGGTTGCGAATGAGGGAGAAAGACACGATTCCCGGTGGCAGCATCGAACTGTATTAAGAGTGACTTAAATTAATAACGATCGCTATTTCGGCGGCGCTTCCATGCTCCGTTAACCCGATTAAAGCCGAATACCGAGGCGAAGCGAGATGATTATAAAGAATTCAGGGGATACGTTACTCCGGCTTAACTTGACTGGCTTGATCCCATTGCGCGAAGGTAATTATGGAAAGCTGGACGTGTTACGACGTTACGATTTCCTCGCGATCGGTGATCGCACCGGGCAGCGCAGCGCGTTACATCGTGAGACACGGTGAAAACGGAACCGAATTGCATTATGTCACATCACTCGGGACCCGCCATCCGTCATCCACGACCCGTGATCCCCACGATCCCCACGATCCCCGATCCGATTTATATCGGGCCGCTATTGAATAAAATAAGCTCAGTCACTGTTCTGCCTCTCGTGGTAGGAAATATGTATCTATCCCGCCCGTCATTTCCAAATTTCAATTAACACCGACATCTTCCGACCTAACCCAAGCATGTTCTCTATCCCTCTCTCGCTTTCGCCAGTACCTACATCTTCCGGTAGATGATCAATCGAAATTAATAAAGATCGAATAGGAACGATGCTTGAACGGATTTCCCATTTTGATACACATAGGTATCTACCGACATATTGAATAAGAAACTAGAAACGGGGAAATCGGAATGTTGCCGCGTTGTCTGTAGAGAACTATTTTATTGCAGTCGTATACGTATATCTGATTGTTTACTGTATTTAAAAAATTATTTAGAGTTAGTCGTACCTAGGGTAACCCCACTAACGACAAGTCTGTTTTTCCGTTTTTTCAGGGAGCGCCGTCGCGTACGCAACATCGACCCTGTATCTTGGCTCCTACATGCGCGATAGAAAGGTGAGTCTCCCGAGAGAACACACTATACTCGAATAGCAAGCCACGAACAATACTACCCGAGACCATCTCGACCGGTGTAGATCCCTCGATTTAGCCCTAGTCACAAATCACTGACGATCGAAAACTCGTCGACGACCACTGAACTCGCAACGGAAGAGACCTGCTAGAGAAATCTCGAGAAATAGGCGAAAAAGTTGGAGGGATGTCGAAACTGTGCACATCCACGCGTTTTCCACATCACGGTAATGTCGATTCGCACGGCACTAATCACCACCAGCGAAGAAAATTAATAAAACTGTTCCTATGAAATGGAATGCGATCATTTCTCGCGGCACGAGTCACCGGTGAGCAAAAGGAAGGGACGACGCGACGAGAGGAGTCTGTAGGTGTGGTAGCTGATGTATGTACATGATATCGGAGAACGGAGCGGATCTCCCCGGACCCGGGCCGGCGTAAGTTCGAAGATCGTTAACGATTCCAGTGGCTAATCGATTTCCCCGCGACGCACCTTTTGCGGTGTGTGTTGCCTTCGATCGTTGGTCGCGTTGATCGTGTATCGCGGTCGTCATCTTAGTCGTCTTGGTCGTGTTGGTCGTCGCTAGCGGCGGGCTTTTTGGTCGGTAAGGTTAGGTCCCCCGACGACGACGACGACGACGACGACGACGACGACGTTTCTTCGGTGCAAGCCGGTTGGACGTCCTAAAGGAAGGAGCTGGTTGGTCGGCCGCACAAAGACCATCGCATAAAAGCTATATCGGTGGTATTTTGGTTTTGGCTCGGCTCGATCCGCGCAGTTCTGGGAGTGGAGTTCTAAAAACAGCAGAGGTAAGTCCTGCTCCCGCTGGCCGCTTCTCTTCGTGTCTTGTCTTCTCTCCTCGAGCGTGCGGGTCGAACCGCACATTTCTATACCGGTTCCTCGGTTTCCTCGTCGTGGCTCGCCGCGGCAAAACTCTTTAGCGACTAGCCGATGCGATCGCTTCACCGCTCTTAACTCGCATACTATGCTGCCGGTTTCATTCCCAGAAGGCACCCGGTGCGAACCTTCTTTTAGGCACCCTCGCGACCGCCTCACCCGGATTTATTTCTTCGCGCCGAAATTATTTTTGGGATCTTTTCACGGATCGTAACACACCGTTTGCAATCTTAATACATACCTCGCGTACCGTCCCATCATCCGCCTCCGCGGGAGGAGTTGTTCCTCTTGCGCATTCGCGTCATCTTTCTTCGAGAGCTCATTCTTTCTCACTGTTTCGATTCGACGAAAACAGTCGCGTCCGTTTTCATTTTTCCTTTAACCGTTTCATTTCGTTCGGCTATTTCTCAAGATACTCGGATCTTCACTCTGGACCTGACCCTCTAGGACTCGTGCCCCCTTTCGAATTCTTACTCGATTCATCTCTTTCGAATAAGTACCTGCATTCTCGAAAACTTTCATTTGAATCGCATTTATTCGCTTCCGGCTACTACCTTCAATCGATTAAACGTTCTATACTTACCTCTTGGAGGCGATTAATGGGTCAGACATTTCGAATTTTCCCGTTCGATTCTTTTCTCTCTTGATTATCTGTTTTTATGAAAATATGCAAGGGAAATTTTGAGGGGTAGATTTGATTAAACGGCGAATCCTCGACGAGCCACGTTCGACAAAGCTGCTGGAATATTGCATGCGTTGATTGATTTTCTTTTCCATTCGTTTTATTCATTGAAACGCGTTGTGTACCGCTTGAAAAAATCTTGAATACTGTCTATTGAAATTCACAAGTATAACGTGTTCTTTTAAATCAGACGATACTTTCTTATTCCCAAACGATTCACGCGGCACGCAACGCGTAAACCAATTCACTAATCCCTCCAAGTCCCCCTTCTAAGCTCGAAGCGCGTAGTCTAGGTTCGTCAAGGTTCGATTGAATGTCTCTCTTGCCAAGAACATCATCGCGTCACGTAGAGTTAGTCATACCGATATGTAACTGACTCGCTCAGCCTGTCACGTGACACGATCGACGATTATGTTGTACATATACGCCTTCTCGGTTGATGCAACTTTATATCCATCGAGCTGCTGCGGTGGATCGTATTAAACAATTATATCTTGTTGATTTCGGATAAGAACATTCGGTAGCATGTCTAATTGGAAATGTTAGCCGAATCTCGTTGGTATCTCTCGATCTCTCATTTGTCGATCAATTGATTAAGTGTTATACATGCACATGAACGATTAATGGAACTTTCAAATCGAACTCGAACATAATATGGGTCCTGCTCCAAATGAAATGTATATTCGACGAAGTAAAGAAAGAAAGAATGAAAGAAACGGTTCCAGACGTATTGTTGGTCCTATGACGGAAAAGATTCCTATTCACCGAATGCATATGTGGATCGGCGTCGATCACCGCGCGTCGTATTCGTTCTTCTGCCCTTTGCCGGTCACCTTGATCACGGTCCAAATTGCTGAAACGCGACGACGCGTGTAAGTACACTCGGTCCAATCTTTCGTCGTCTCGGTCGTCGTAATGGCGACGCAAGCACACATACATACCCCCGCCGCGATCACGATTCTTTTCCAACGAGATAACCGATCGTGAATCGGTCATCGGTTTCTTACGATTGCCTCTGCGTGATTTTCGTTTTTTTTTTTCTAAACGTAGAATAGCGCGGCTCGATTCAAAAGGCCAAGAGTAGTTTACACGTTAGATTAACTCGCACTTTCACTAGCCTCTTTTACACGCGTTTCATCCTCTTTCACCTCGTATAATCTGCAAGAGTTATTTTCAGGGTAACTTTGCCGCGCGAAGGGTGAATGAGGATCAATTTGCTCCTTCGTAACCAGTCCGCTCGACCACCTTGAAACTGCTGTTGCAGTATAGCGATCAGGCTTACCTACCTACCCTTTTGCGCTCCTCTTTCTTCCTTTTTCTTCTTTCACTTTTCTCTCTTCTTTCAACACGTCGAATCTGTTTCCCTTAGCCATGAAAGAAAAAAATAAAACCAAGAAAAATCTTTCTCTTGTATTCACTTTTCAAGATCTGCCCCCGTGTTTTATAGGCTATAAAATCAATCGTTCTCTGGGGAAAAACGAAGGTAGGCTATGTAAGTCTCTAAAACGGTTCGATCGAACAATTCATTTTTTTGTTTTCTTCCGTTCCGTTCTGTTCTGTTTTGTTTTGTTTTGTTTTGTTTTGTTTTGTTTTGTTTTGTTTTGTTTTGTTTTGTTTTGTTTTGTTCTGTTTCGTTCCCATTCGAACCGGAAGGGTTTCCCCGACGAGCATGCACCGATCGACGAACCTGTTGCTTCGAATGGCGTTGGATCGCGCGTTACCACGCTCCGAAGAAGTAACGAGGCTTTAGGTCTGACCAGGATCGCAATACCGGTGCCTTTTTATCTTTTCGTGGTACGATTCACCTGGTGACGTCACCTCCGGAGTTTGGTCTCATTCTCTGCCGTTTGGTCCGGTGCCAAGTGCGCAAATCACACGTGTCTCGGTTAAATGGCAGACTGTGCTTTCGCGCGACGCGTTACGATCGACGAACCGTGCGTCGCTGAGATTATTCGGACCCTTTCACGACACAGTATGAACACTGAATCCAATTTAGCCTGAGCCCTTCGAATTCGTTTGATCGTTGACAATCAAATATACCGGAAAACATTGCACCTGCGTTTTCACGGGAATCACCAAAGAGGATGTACATATTCTACGTCTATCGGGACACAGTTTGTCGGAAGGATTCCTGCTCACGAATCGAAAAGAAACGGATACGAAGAGATCGAAAAAGATGAACGAATTACTTGTCGAAAAATCCGTTAATGCGACACGTGTTCGTAGTCTACATGGATATATGTAAGCGTGCCAGAGAAGGCTCGAGATTTTCCAGTGTCGGAACAAGATGTTTTTCGGCCGGGGGCAGCAGGATGAACGGATATCCGGTATACGGGAACAGACGTCGGTTGAACCTCGAATGTCGTTGACGGAGGGATAGACAGGCAGAAGCCGGTTGTCGGGACCGACGACTGGCATTAGCCGAGAAGTTTGCCCGAGTCGAGAAGGTTTGGCGGCCACCTGGTATTTTCCTTCGAGCCTTTCCTCCTTAAAGGGAAGTTACATACTCGCTTCCCTGCTTCCTCGTCTGGCTCGTCTGGCTCATCTGCTGGCTCATCTGGCTCATCTGGTTGCTCTGGAAATCTTGGGCAAAGCTTTCTTATTCTTATTCATTACGTTCCGCTTGTAGACTCTTGGACGATAGAGGAAAAATGATTCGAATGAGTAGCTCTATATTGAATGTTCGCTCGCAGATTCCTCAGGCTGCTGTGGTGATGATAGCAACGGACAATCACAACACGGATGTTACATAACGCATGGACGAAATTTCTGAGAAAAGATGTGCACACAGGATTGGTGAAAGAACTTCCTTCGAGAATATACTCGCTGGGGGATTAACGAGAAAAGCGATCGTTTCCCGAGTTTCAAAATTTACTTGACACGCTGTATAAAATATTCTTTTCCGTCTCCTCGTCCGCCTTCTTCTTTTTCTTTTTATTTTTCTTCTTATTATTATTATTACTATTATTGTTGTTGTTGTTGTTGTTGTTGTTGTTGTTGTTGTTGTTGTTGTTGTTGTTGTTGTTGTTGTTACCATTACTATTAGTGTTAAAAATTGACTGGTTTTTCTATAACTGCTTGGTATTGGCGATAAAGCGTGAACAAATTGTGAAAGGATATACATAGTGGTGGTGGTGGTGGTGGTGGTGGTGGCGGCGGTAGTGGTGGTGGTGGCGGTGGTGGTGGTGGTGATGGTGGTGGTCAGCTACGTCGATCAGAACTGGTGACCGTCAGGATGGCGAACGAACGTGTCGAGAGGAGAATAGGACACGCAGTGACAAGGTATATACGCGATGGGAGAGAACGTTCGATCGGGTCGCGTAATGGAGTGTTCGCTGATTGTCGGTGAAAAAGCTCGCGCCTCGGAGAAAGCGGGGAAAAAGCGAGGAAAAAGGGAACGGTTAA